TGTTTTGTTGAATGGGATTTTTTGGTGGTAAGTTTTATTTTAGTAGAAGGATGACTCAAAGACAAATTTATGGATAGACATAGTGAAAAGCATCAAATTATTGATGCCTGTTAAAAACGATTTCATTTATTTGGCCAAGTTGTAAGACTTTAGCAGAACGAATGCATTCACTTTGCAGATACGAAAAATTCCGTATATTGCATTAGCAGCTTTATTTATATTAACAGCAAACGGTAGGTGGCGAAAACATCGAATCATTAATGATCGGCCCAAACAACCAATTGCATGTGGAAATCGTGCACACTAAGATTCATCTATATTACATAACTACTTTTCTTCATAGGTTTTATTTACTTGTCTTCTGTATTATAACAAGGAACAAAATAAATCGTACGAAATTAACGTATCCTGCCAAGCAAAATATATCTTCTGTTAATCGCATGTCGTTACCGATCTCGACTCTTATTTGATTCAGACTAGGTTTAAATAAACATTGTTTTATGTTACTTAAAAAATTGAAAAGCAACCGACAGATTTTGATTTTCAAATCGCAATAATGATTAACGTGACATGCGTAAAGGAAGAGAAAAAAATAAACGAAAAATATTTTATATAAACACGTTGACAAGAAAGAAGATAAGAGGTGCACTTTTTAGTCCTACGCCACAGAAATTGTAAACTGTAGATATCACAAAATCCACATGCTGTAACATTGCTCAAAATTAATTCGGAAATTCATCTGAGCGAGTTTTTGCGATAAAAAGTTGAGAGCTTTTGTGTTGCTTTAGTAACTTTTTCACGTATACAGCGCAATAGGTGCGTCTGCTTTGTTGTGGAAAGTAACGCGTTTTATAATAGTTTCCTTCAAAAGTGGTTTGTAAGGGTAATTCGTACTTCTGGAGAAGAAAATGCAACATGAATTAATATTTATAATATATGTGCTTGAGCACATCATTGTGGGAATAAACGAGGATGGCTAAAGTCATCAGTTTCAAAATCAGGGAAAACGTACAAATTTTTGCCACATTAGTAGGTCGATCAGAAAACTTCACCACGAACGGTTTAATCGCGACCATATAAAAAAATTTCTTCTGCTTCCGATAATTGCAAAGCGAGATCCCTTGAAGTCGTCGCTAGCAATTTCCAATGAAATTGGGAATATTGTATCATCCCAAACCGTTCGTTGATGATTGTTAGAGGCTAATCTACCCGGAACAATAGCTCGCAAAGATCTATGATCAGAAAAGTTAATTTGGAGCAGAAGATAAACTTTGCTTCAGCACATAAAAATTGGTGCAGACCGCAAGGCGAAAAAGACTGGAGAAATGTATTTTCGAACGGCGAAAATTTGCGTATGATGCGTACAAAAATTTTTACTTTGGTCAAAAGGGAAAGAATTCCACATTGCAACTCATTGAAATAATTGTAAAACGTGGCTGAAAATATCTTATGAGATGTAACTGTTTTTCGCGGGAGTATATTGTTCCTACAAAGATTGGTTGGCGGGGTGTGTTCTCCGGGGGACCAGAGGTTCTTGTAAGAGAACTTCGTAGGTGAACTTCAATTCTGTACCGAACCGACCGTACAATTAACGCGAATCATAGCAAGATTAATCGTTCCCTTGTTTAATTATATTAAAATTCATTTTATTAAATAATTTTCCACTTTAGCGTATATATTACGTAAAGTATTTTACAGCTCCTTGGAATCCTTGTTTATAAACTATTCTTTATTGAGTAGTTTCCATTAGGGCACATATCCTATCATGGATTCCATGGTCCATTTCATTATTTATTACAGGGAGACTTTCTACTACCTCTTATCCTTGTTGGTGTTTGCCTTTCCGAAAGCCGAAGGACAAGAAAACGAATTAATTACTACAAGCACATCGAGCGCTTCTGTGGGATAACTCTCACTTGAAGATCGAAAGTTAACTCTCATTTAAGTAGCTTGGTGTTACCAATCTGCAATACTACAGTTCGAAAACAAATTCTTAGCCCTAATCAGGCTCACCCTGTCAGGTTGTCCGATCTGCCAGATGGCACATTCTCTTAACTGTTGGCAATATTATATCACTCCTGCAATACCTTAAACTACTAGAACATACGTACTATACTTAACTACTGCGTTTGGGGCGAAGATGAGGTGCGATTTTGATTCTCACAATCTCAGAGAAAACGCTATGGATAGATTTGCATATAAAGACTTGTCAGAAACTATAATGCTACCATATACTGAAAAAATATGTCTTTGTATAATTGTCATTGAACGGTCAAATCTCTCTACCGACCTCAATCTTCATTTTTGGGAAAAACTAAAGCGTCAAGTTTTCTGCAGCAATAAAAAGAATTGTGAAAAAATATTCAAAAAACAGAGACTTGCTAAACTAATTTCATTCAAGTCTAAAAGCAAAAATTTATATACTTTGCGTGTTTAATTTTTCCCATACTTATACAGGTGCCACAGCGTTACCCACAGAATGCACGTTCAAACTTTTGTAAATTTATCTGCTGTAGTAATGACAAAAAAAACAATTTTTTACTAATTTTGAAAAACAGAGGTGTTTTAATTTTACTTAGTAATGTCGGCGTGTCCGTCAATCGATTTACAATTCCAGACTATGGTTAAGAACTTTCAATGTTTCTGAAATATTTGACGTCGATGGCTTTATTTTTGAGAATGTTTACAACAGACATTACCCGGACAGACTGATGGACAGACGGACATGTTTAAATCGAATCAGAATTTGGTGTTGATCCAGAATATATATACTTTGTTGCGTCTCTGCACATGTTTCGACAAAAGCAATATACTGCTCATTCTTCGGTGATGGGTACAAAAAGATCTTTAGATACCTTTCATTGTTCTGCATGGTGGATTATATTGTTAACTTGCTGCTCGTAGTCATCCATCTCGAACCACTTCTATTAGGAAACGAGCAGACTTTCGAAACATTATTCATTAAAACCCATCCAAAAATTCCTAATAACTCTCTTTCCGTCGTTAAGCAGTTTTCATTATATCATTCTCTTTTTTACCTACTTTCGGCATTTCTTGAACAGCACAGTCATTTAACTTAATAGCGGTAGATTGATTTTTTTCATCAATCTCTTCTTTCATTGCCTTTAATTGTATTCAGATTTATTGTATTACTGCTATTGAAATATTAAATAGTCAATTTTGTGCATACATTGTTGTTAGCAGCGTTTGGGGCAAAAGGTTGTGCGTGAAAGCTTTTTGCTTTTTTTCTGCAATGAAATGCATTGAATTTTTGTTGCGGGTCGTTTTTGTCATATCTGTGATATGGTGTCCTCTTCATTTGATTAATGGTTATATTTCCAAATTGTATGTCCTCCCAAAAGTAGAAGGTGAGTGAGAGGGAAAGAAAATATGTGTGCGTATCGCTATGGTTTTTGGTGCCTGTTGTAATTTACGATTGCTTGCCACACATGCTAAAGAGTACGCTTTCATGATGCATATGTAACTCTAAGTCAAACTTTCCGAGTGTATGTATCCTACGCTGTTGTTGAATTGCTTTGATACGAATTCGACAGCTTATTTCACCTGCCGCAAATGGATGTGTGTGCAAAGATATTTTTTTTTAGAAAACATTTTTCAAATCTATGTCTTGCCTGTTAGGGGAATGAGTTTGCGTTGAGTTTGGTTTTTACGTTATCCCATTTATGTTCTATGTCATTTGGCTTGTGGTACTTATCTAAAAATTTCATCCGATTTCAGTTTTCATTTTGACGTGTTTTCACAAAACTCACATTTTTCATCTGAGGACTTTCTTTTGTACGTGCACAGCAAGGAATCAATCATGCGTTATATGGGTAGACGCAACAATTTGTAAAAAAAAAGGGCCACTTTGGCTACAGTTTTGTTAGTTTTTTATAACTTGAACATCTTTTGTTCTTGAAATAATTTGGCTTCCTATGAAGGGTATTATCAATAGATGGTAACGGTCGATTGGTGTGGGAATTTTGATCGCCTCTGATGCTTCGATTGCTTCTTTTGTGAATGGTCAAATTTCAAGATCGCAACTAGTGGTTGTGCGCTTAGTAATAAGGTGTGTCACAATTTTTGAAAGACCCACTTTTATTTTAATTAAGTTAACGGATAACATCATATTACCGAACTAAAAAAAGAGCAATTTTGACATTTTTTTCAAATGGAAGGAAAGGTATCACAATAATAATATTGCAACAAGTATTTTTAGCATATACTCATGTACTCATAACAAGTAGGAAAATTATATTTGAGCGTGACCGAATATTTTCTGCCTATCACCAAAAAAGACAAAAAAAACTGAAAAACGCGCTCCTAATTCGTTCTATATTTAAAATAAAAGTTCTTGTTTTTAAAAAAATTTTTGGTGTTACGCAGTCAATTCTCTCGGTTTTTCTACAGGTACTACAGCATCCCTCATAAAATGTGCCTTCAAATTTTTGTACATTTACCGGTTATAGTTATTGAGTAACGATCAAAAAACTAATTTTCAATACCTTTTGAAAAGTCAAGAACTTCCCCCCTTTACGCAGTACTGTAAGCGTGTCCTTCGACCGATTGCACCAATTTTCAATATCAACATGAACTTCCAATATTTTTGCTAAATTTGAAGTCGGTAGCTTTATTTTTGCGGCTATGAGAATGTTTACAACAGACAGCACACAGGCGGATGGACAGCGGACAAGCCTAAATCGACTCAGAATATGATGCTGATCAAGAATATATATATCTTGTGGAGTCTCTGAAGTTTCCTTTTGGGCATTGCAGACGTTTTTACAAAATCAATGCAAATGAATGTTCAAACGACATAAAATGTTCGAATTCAATCTCCCTGCCGAATATCGATCGAAAACAACTTTGAAAGTCGTTAAAATAATTTCAACTGATATGATTCTGAAATTTTAAAATTTCCTTTCCTGAACAATTTTTTTTTACTATTATAGGTTTCCTACTTATTTTTATTTCTCTTTTCTCTTTCTATACATTCGCAGCCCTGAATTTCGTATATCGCTTATTTATTATACGCAGAAATGTCCAAAGCAGCACAACTTCAGGCTTTATACGCTCGACGCCGACAAGCGGAAGACGATCGCATTGAACGGACGCAAGAGCTAAATCGTTACTATGATCATTGGGGCAAAGTGACGACTCGCTTTGCTAATTGGACCGCACCAGAATATTATGATAAGGCAGGACAGCAGCTTCAACAAACCAAAGACAAAAAAGAAAAGGAAAAAGGTCTAGCCATTCGTCAGAGAAAGCTTTCGGAAATATTTACAATAGAAAAGAAAACATTCGATCGCGAGATGAATGAATTAAAACGAGTGCGTTCGCGAAAAGTATCCACAGATACCTTAGAGAAAATTGATGAGAATCTAAAAAATCAAGATAAAATACGTCGCAAATTGGAATTGGAGGCAAAGCTGTACGGTAAATTGCGACATGGAGTTGATGATGAGAACTTAGTTTTCGATTCCAAGTCCGAAAATGAGACATTGGCAAAGTTGAATTGGCTGGACAAACAAGTCAATACTCAGTTAGAACGCGAAAGAGAGGAAGCCAAAAAACAAGAGCAAATATTGTTGTTACAAGAAAAACAAATTAAACTGGAGCAACTGCAAAAGGAACGGCATGCAATGCGTGAACGAGAGATTCAAGAAGTCCGCACAATACAAGAAAACTACATGCTCCAGTTAAAAGAGCGTCAAGAAGAAAGTGAAAATTTAAAGAGTGAAGAGAAGAAGTTGCGTGACAACATTGATGAACTAGGAAAGGAGCTTGAGCTACTTAAAGAGACGGACGTTGTAATGCAGAAACCTGCAGATCTAGCGCAAGCATACAACTTTAAACGAATAAAGACGTTCATACGCAAACGTTCAGAGGAATTTCGAAATCATATAAAAATACATATAGCTATTTTGGAGCGCACACTTGATTATGCCAAGAAAGTGACAATAGCAGATGAATTAATCGAAAAGTACAAAAAACTTCTAGACTTCGAAGCGCAATATGTGTCACAAATTGAAGCCATGTACGAATCCGAAGCTAAGTCTTGTCTTTTAAGAAGTGAAGAAAACTGGACTCGACAGCACAGAGAACGCTGCAATGAAATCAATCAATACCTCGACAATGAAAGTAAAGCATTTAAAGTCCAGCTGACCGATAATCTAGAACGTCAAGAGGACGTGATTGAGTTGAGGACCGCGTGCTTATCGGTTATTGAGGATGTTAGTGCAAAGCTGAAACAACTTATTAAGGAAGAAGAGGAATCACCGCGAGGTAATCAAAATAGCCAAGAGTTGCTGTCCTCCAGTTCTAGTGAAGCTAAGAAAGTAAGATTCGAAACTAACGCGAAAACTTCAGTATCGCCGAGCTCACTGCCTGAAATAACGAAGTCATTTAACAACCTGAACTTGGATGTGTGGCAAGATTTGCCCTCATCGCGTCGTGGTATTGATACTCTGCCTACAAATAATAACCCAAACATTGTTACACCAGAGAACGTCGAAAGACCAAAATACGGACGAAAACGTGTAGCTTGGACCTGAAAAGCATTATATATTTCTTCCATAATTTTTTTTCCGTTTATCTCCTTAGTCACGCACATGATTTTATTGTGATTTCATTTACAAATAAATTCTTTTTTTTTATTTTACTCTTTTATTTATTTTATTGTTTTGTTTTTATATATTCAATAGCGATACTTCGTTTCATTTTTTTAGATTCGTTGCGTAATGGCGTGTGAATGATACAGTAACAGAGTAATGCAAGCAAAAAACATGTGTTGCAATCGTAAATAGCGCTTATGAAAAGAAAATGAGGATGAAGATTCGATGGAATTGTTTGGGATGGAGAGCATAGCGATCTTGTGATAGCTTTAAACCGCACAAAAAAAAGATGTGAAAGTTTTTATTATGCTGCTTACTGCATACTTAAGAGGGTTTGCAAGATGTTATATATGTGTTAACAGCTAAAACCCTTTTTTACTTACGTGTCTGCTCGGTTCTAAATGTAATTAAATTTTGTGGGGGGACATTAAAGTGAAAGTGCTTAAAAGTGATTTGTTAGCTTAAGAGTCATTCTACCAACCATCAAAAAGCGCTCCGCTCTACTCGGTTGGCTGGGCGAGTTCACAAAAACTCATGTTTGTGTTTATGTTTAGGTTTAACTCAAGCACCTTAGTGAAGGCACAGTGTACTTGTCTGCATATAAAAAGCAAAGCAAGAAACTTCTATCGGCACTGTTGCTGCTGCTGTTGCTTTACCTGCTACCAATGCTCTTTTCCTGAGCACCAACAAACCATTTTCTCTTTATGTGCATGCAACACAACATCGTAACGATTTAAAAAAATTTAATTTTCTTCTTGAGTCCTTTGGAGGCACTCGAGAGATTCCGCTTTTGTTTATATGTTTTTGGTTGTGTGCATTTTACTTATTTGTTGTTGTTTTATATTTTTTATTTGTTTTTTTATATTTGAACATTTTGTGTTAAACGAGTATGCACTCGGTTTACAATTCAGTCAGGCGGCCACTGCAATTAACATTTCGCTTAGACAAATTAAAATTGAGACTGGCTCTGTTGCTTTGCACTTGGCAACAGTTTAATGTGTACATAATGAGAAACTAAATTGTAAATGCTTCTAGATTACTTTACTGTGCTTCCCTTTGCTTTGGCTTTTTCTGCTTTGACCGAAATTTAGTTTTTAGTTCTTATTTTTTATATTTTAATTTTATTTTCTTATAAAAAAGGGCTGTTGACTGGTGTAAAGAGAGTTCTATAAAATCTTTAAGTTTTGATAAAAATTTTAAATAGTCTTAAAAGGTTTTATAAATTTCGTAATAAATTAAATGCAAATTGAGAGATGGACTCCGCTTTACTTTATTTGAAATGGGAACGTAAGCTCTACCACAGGATTGGGCACGTGTGAAATCCTTTCGCGAAGCTACATACGCGTACAGAAAATTACAGAAAAACATCTCATACGCATTTGTATGCTACTCGTTCCCTGCGCTTCAGATTCAGCAAAGTTTTCAAAATTAACATTTTCAAAAAAGAAAAGAATTAAAATTCACTCTCTCTTTCCTTTCTTTTTCTGTTCTCATCGTATGTAATTAATTTGCCAAAGAAACGTAAAATACAAAAAGAAAATTCAATACGAGTACATATTCTCCGCCATTTTCTTTTTGTAAGAAGTACAATTTATACTTCTCGAGCCTTATGATACAAGGGTGTACAATACCCAGAAGAATTTGACATAGACCTACCTTTTATTATAACGATAAATTCAGAAGATGATTGAAAGCGTCGTTAAAGCTGAAAGGAAAGCATGTCTGTCCATCTGGTATTCTAGAACTCAACCTACAGGTTGGAATTTTTGAGATATTGTGGTAACATACGGTAGACCAACACATCTTTTTATCCCAAGGATGAAAGTAGTTCGGATCGGACCATTTTTTCGGTGCCTTTCCATATAACGCAGAAATGCAAAAAAAAAAAAAAAAAAAATGAAATCTGCATTAAGTAAAGTGTTCGGTCCAGTATTAAATGATGGACCCTGGTCCTCTATAACATCCCTACTTTTCTGAAGTAGATTTTCTCGTTTCATTTTACGAATTAATTGAGTGTTGCTTTTTACATTCTCTGAATCGGTTAAGTTTATTTTGTGTCCAAAAAAATATTAAAAACGCGAAATTGTGGTTGTATGCGAATGAGAGGGGTTTACAAACAAAAAGGTTCATTTTCGTTTTAAAGAATAGGTCTATTTTGAATCTTCTCTTTAATTCTTATATTAAAGACCAAAAATTTCATAGAAAACACAGGAAGGACAGCAAGGATCACGTGTTAGTGCTTTTCTGGAATCAATGTGATAATCTCCAAAAAAATCGCACATTCATTTATTATCTTTCGCATAGGGCGAATCGTCTTAGTCGCCAATATAAAAATGGCAAGCAATGTGTGACAATGCTTGATCGATATGAAATGTATGTTAAAACACTTGGTGTGGTGTTCTCATATACACGCCCTTGGTGTAGAAAAAATTAAAACAACATCGAAAAACGCCGACAAGTTTTTCACATACAAATATGTATCTGGAGAAATGGTATCCAAACATTCGCCAAAATCGCCTGCACGTTCGATGCGAAAATGGTACTGATCGATGAAGTCACGTGCCCACAAATAATGATTGAATTTATACGCCACTTTATGCTCATTCAGTTCTTTACGATGCTATTTGCTGTTAGATTTCTTTAATGAAATTCATCTTTTAGACGGACGTATTAAAAAGAAATATTTATCAGAATTGTTTATTTATACCTTATTTATAAATTTTTATTAACGATCATGTTGAAAACATCTTTTCCATGTAACATCTCCCGAAATGTTATAAAAAGTCTAAAGTGACCAGCCTTCTTGTCGAAAATTGCCTTTTTGTCGAGAAATCAACGTCACACTTAGTTTTACTTAGTGTTAACTTAGTGCAATTGTTTGAGGAAACTGTTTAGCATATCCTTCTATATTAATATTTTAGCACTTAGAACTCCCACGTAAAGTTTCCACGAGAGTTAATTGTTTGCAAGCAACTTTTTCTGCTTGTGAACGAGTTGTTAAATATGATTCAGCAAGCTTGAGCACGGTGTATCCGTGTGAAGGTACCCCTAATGGTCGATGTTCGTATTTCCCTAAATATGGCCTGCCATTTCCTAGGTATTTGCTAGCAAAGTCAGCTGCTAACTAGCTTCTGGACTTAATAAAAAAAAGTGTATCACATTTAGAAATAGCAAATTGGGCGTGCCTAAAAAAAAAGTTGGCACATATATTTGCCGCATTCAGTTATTTGAAGTCGGTTTATAACATCTGAAGATGTTTACTTCTTTATGCAGAATTTTTGGGGTTGAAATTTACAAATCCATACGATATAATAAATACCTAATTTGCTGTTCCTTAGCAGTAAGTACTTCATACCTCGTAAGAACGATTTTTAGATTCGATTCGTATTAATCGCTCTCATCATGTTAAAGACTTGGAAAACTAGCGATGGCTTTAACAATAAAAATTTCTGCCCTTCAATTAAGAGTGTGATATGGATGCTCTTTCAAATAGTTCACCTTCAAATCGTTTCAGCAAATCTGACCACTTTATATTTTTTAAGCTTAAACCCTTTCCATAGATCATTTTCATTTTTAAACTATATTCGCTAAGACGTCCATCTAAACAACCCACCATACGTAAGATTTCCAGGGGTTCGCTCTTTTGCTTAAACTGAAGTACTGGAGAAGGACATCATGCTTTTTTGGTAAATGTTGATTCTTTGATAAGCGTGATGGTTGGAATATACTGTGAGGATAAAAATTTTCCTTTTCGCATAGTCATGCTGGGATAGCATCAGCGGTTATTTCAGGTGTCCTTAATTTTCGTTGATAATACTCCGTCTCTAAATAAAAATTTCGATAAATCCTTTTTGTTATAATTCAGATTTCTTATATTCTCTATCTTACGTCACTATCTCAACTTTATAGTAATTTTGTAAAGTATATTCGAGTAGCGGCTAAAATTACGCAGAAGTGACCCGTCGTCTGTGCTCATCGCGTGGAGCGGATTAGCCTCTAACGAAATTCCTCGGATTCGGCACTCCGGGCGTGCGATTTAAACGAATGATGAAGGATTGCACTTTCACGTCTTACCTCGACGGCGGTTCAGCCAAGAAGAAGGAAGTCGGAACACATTGTTAGTTTATTTTTTTTATATATTATCAGTTAAGTATTACAGGCATAGGATGCTGTGTGCAATAAGTCAGGACCGGAAGGAGACGTAAGAGGGTTGTCAGAGGAGAAGAAGATTACATACCCTCTTGCTTCTGGATTGAACCATCTCCTGAATAACATGATCAAAGCATAAAAGTAATCCGTAACCAGATGTAAATGAACTCTCCATGTGGGAGACGACTAGGCAATCTAGTTGCCTGTCCGACTAAAATGGCGACGATAGGCCATAGTCTTCAGAGTGTTTAAAAGCTTTAATTCTAATTTACAATTTACATGTCTCTGTCCGCTGATTTGGGATATAATAAAAGTATACAACTGCCATCATTTGTAGTAGCTGTTTATTTGACATTGCTTGCCAATTACTAGTTATGGCGCTAACTGCATCATTTAATCGCTGCTATCATTTGTACTTATATTTGAAATAGACAGAAAGGAAGAAATAACGAGGAAAGTGTGAAGAGTCTAATAAAAAAGTCATTTATAATAAAATAAGAGAAAAGTGATGGTGTGAATTGGATTGAGTGGAATAAGGCAAAAGGACAGATCCAAAGATCCTTTCCCATTTATCTTATTTTTTCTTCCATATTTTTTTTATGTAATCCTGCAATTTGTTCTTTTCTGTGAATGTCTTATGTAATGATATCACACAAATTTTTATCATTTCTGTTGTTTTTTTGATTCTCTTTTTCTTCTTTCTGTTACTGGGAGTACTGAACACTGAGGCAAAATGAAATTCATGTCCATTTTCGTTAATGGCGTTTGTACAATTTCCGGTTCGTTTCGTCAACATTATGCGTAGTTTGCCGTGTGATGTAGATATAAATTTATATAGGCATATATACACATACATTTGCGTGTGTAGATAGATATAGCTAGTGAAAATGAG